TTTGAGATGGAGTCTAGCTCTGTTGCCAGGCTGGAGTGCAGTGGCACAAACTCGGCTCACTGCAACATCTGCCTCCCGGGTTCAAGCGATTCTTCCGCCTCAGCCTCCCGAGTAGCTGGGACCACAGGCACGTGCCACCATGCCTGGCTATTTTTTGTATTTTTAGTAGAGACAGGGTTTCACCATGTTGGCCAGGATGGTCTCGATCTCTTGACCTCATGATCCGCCCACCTTGGCCTCCCAAAGTGCTGGGATTACAGGCGTGAGCCACCGCGCCCGGCCAGGTTATCCTATTCTATAGTAAGCATACTTTATAAGCAGGACTACCCACTTGTAACTGACATATATTCTTAAAATAGTCTCTGGTTTTAAAAGTAATAATCAAAACATTTTCTGTGAGTACCATTAAATGAAATATTGAATAGTATAATCTAATAAACCTGAATCATATTTTTCTATTCTATTCTTTTCCTATATTCCTTCTACTTAAAATTGCCAAATATTCAAATGCTTATATTTTACTATATAATTTTCTAGTAACTGAAAAAAATATGTATTTGGAAAGCACTATGCTTCTTCATCTTTTCTTAGCATTATTTATCAGCTTCTAACCTTCTCTTTTTTCCTTACCTCAACTCCCAGAAGAGCAGCCCAGGTTAAACCTCTCATAAGAGGAGGAATGTCAACTCTTGCTTCTTTCCAGATTTGGTTTTTTTTATATGGATAAGCCTATGATATCAAAAAATAAATGAAAATGTCTCAAATTACCTAGTGCCATCTTTTAGTCTAGACAGTTCTGATTATAACTGTCAAAAACCTGGAGTGACTTGCAATAAATTTCAAAGTATCTGCAATATTGTGTCTGGTGTTAGTACTACATATAAATAAGCAGTGGAATAAATCCGTAACACCCTGCAAAACTTTTATTACATAATTAAAAAGAAGAGCTGATTCTACCTGTTTTTTAATCCTTCCTCTCTATTTTGTGCTCTGGGGGGATTTTAAAGGAGTCAGATGGAGGATAATAGTAACAGCCTCATATGGGTTAAGTAAGATAATGCAGGTAAAGCACTCTGTTAAAAACATGGTGACGGAGAAGTGTTCAATAACTATAAGCTACTATTATGGGTACTTCTGCATTGTGCATATAAATTTGTACTTTTATAAATTTGTGTCTTAGAAGAAATTTCTAAAACAGTATAAATAGGACAAAGGACATATGTTGTTAAGGTTCTTGATATATGCACTCAAATTGTTTTACAAAATGTTTCAGTCCATTCACATTTATCCCAATAGAATGAGAGTTCCAATGTTATTGCATTTGTGCTCACTTTGCTAATGCGGTACACAAAAACACCCGTATTTTAACTTCTATTTTTTTTTTTTTTAATTCCTAGTGAAGAACAATTTGAATAGATTTACTAATTGTATTTATATTATGTACTGTATCCATTTCTCTGTTTCAATATTGATGCTTTTTACTGTTGACTTTTAAGTCTTCTTTTAAAAAATAAGGATATTAGTCCTTGTCTAACATGATTTTGCATAAGTAACAAAACTTGTTTTTCTTTTGAATTTTACTTACTAAGAACATGTATCATTTTTAAAATTAAAGAAAGTTAACTAGACACGATAGGTCATAAAAATTAGTTTTCTCATACTCAAGATTTCCTAAAAATTATCGACAAAATTAAAGAAAAATTCCATATGGGCGATTGTTAACACTTCATACTTTAGAATCCATACCTTTAGCAGCCTGTCAAAGAGAATAATTCTGTTTAGTTGGTACTCTGTGTCCTTCTCTCTGATGATTAAAGGGAGAGTGGCAGCTGCAGACAACTCATTATTGCTGTTTGAATGAGGTAAATTAGACTGGCTGTAAAAGAGAACCAAAGAAAAAAAAAAAATTCACAAAAGGTACAAATTTTTTTTTTTCTTTTTAACTCTATTGACAGTGATTTCAGAAAAAATTACAAAATTTTAATAAACCAAAACATCATGTTTTTATTTTCTATTTAGGAAACACAGTTCAAAGAAAATGTATAAAATTCTTATAAATCTAATATAAACAGAAAGAAAACTAAATGTAAAGTGAGACTATATATACTCACTCATCTTCAAGTAATGGGTAAAATGCTTCTCCACCAACATCTTTCAATCTCTGTGTATTTAAAGACAAAATATTTACGTATAAACATCTTGGGCAGAGACCCTGTTCCTTGTTTAAAAAGAAAAGTAATATAAAAATTATAAATTTATAAAGGGACCTAGAAAAATATAAAATAGAATCTAAAAATCAGTTTTTATCATAAACATGCAAATATACCACGCCTCTGCTGATTTAGGTTTGGCTGTGAAAAACATCTTATCTTTTTTTTTTGTTACCTATAGGTATCACTCACAAATGTTAGACACTTATCATGATATATTTTCCAAACACAACTCACAGTTACTAGCACTAGTATAAAACTTAATGAATGAAAAAATTAAGTTATATGAAGAAAGATGATTAAAAAGAGGTACTATATATCCATGTATATACTAAAAGCACAACGTAGATTTATTTTTGCTTTGGCATAACACCAGCTAAGTCAAAAGGAAAGGTGCTAGGAAAAGGATTCCAAAAAATTTCTCACAACATACTTTGAACATGTATGACTCAAATATCTAATAAATCGATGGACAGAATTCACTTAATGATTGTTTTTTACAAAGTCATTATAATAAATGTTGTTCCTAATAACAATTCTGACAGGATTATAGGTATTCTTCAAAAACATAAGCAGGAAGGCAGTAGTAAAGTAAAATGATAACCACATTCTAAGCAAGGTGATTAAGGTTAATTGCATCTTCCCTGCTGCTCTGCTGTTCAACTTCCAATTTGAAGGCAGAATGTCTGCTCCTATGGGGACTGATAAAGAAGTTCAAGCTCTGTGTGTAGCAAGCACTGGTCTTCTGTTGATTAGAGTCATTGTGTACCCATGTGAGTTATTCTTAGAATTTTTAAAGCTGAAAAAAAATATAACTCAACACTAAGAATTTGGCAAACACTAAATTTATGCCTGGTTCTTCTCTAAAAATTAACGTGCTGTGCACTTATCTTATTCATATCCTATTTTAGTAAACCTTTAGGTATATCTTTCATATATTGAAATTTTAAGTAAAGAAAGAAAATTTTCCCAAGTTTTACTGCATTAATACATACATCTTTTTAAATATTAATTTTCAGTATCCTGAATGTCATACATTTTATTTAATAAGTCTCTTGTCTGTCTTTTCCAAATAAAAAGTAGCACATTAGGATTTTTAAAAGATGAAAATAGTTGTTCAAAAACACTAAAGATAAAAATTATTTGGTTTCCATATAATTTTAAGATTCAGCAAATTAATATTTCTTAATAACTATAGAAGAAAAGTATTTTAAGTTTCACAGGTAGAACTATAAAGGAATTGAGACCGTAGACTTGAAGCCTACATTCATTTAACTCGGATGGAATTTAAATTGAAGAAACAAGAGCAAAGCAAAATCAATTGAAATCATATATTTTGGATGTAATTTATTGTTTGCTGCATGGTATTGTTACTTATTTTGTTACTTTACACATTCTTTCAAAGAGATTATGAATTCAGAGTATTAAGTAGTAATAATTATATATTTTAATTTTCTGTTGCTGGCATTATGGCAGAGAAGAGATTCTAATACTCTCCTACTATATAACATGTAAAATATTCAATGATTATATAAAGCCTTAAAACATAAGAAAAATGCAGTGATAACAGATATAAAACTGGGCCTACAGAGAAAGGGGTTAAGAACTGTGGTCTAGAGATTAAGACCATAATGAGATAAAAATTTGAGCACCTGCATAACAGACCTTCAGAATGGAGAAGACCCTTCTAAAGCCACATAAAGAAAAAACTAGAGGAATTGCTAAGACAGGAAACAAGGATAGGTACCTATTTTAGCCTTAGCTATGAATGATTAAAAATAAAAAAGCTAGCCTTTTTAGACTTCCAGTTTCTTATACAAAACATAAACAACTTAGAAGTCATCATTCTTCCTCTAACAAGCAAAATGCTGAACAAACTGAAAATCAAGAACTCTTCTCACATTTATCAGAATCAGAGCCAAGTGATGTTCTAAAAACTGGAGGGATCCTCGAATACAGGCAAATCACAGCTACCAGGTACACAGCCACTGCTGGAGCCTGTTAAGATCAATTAAAAGGTAATTATCAAATACCTGGAGGCTGAACACAAACTAGTATGGGAGGGAAAAACTTCTGGAAGCCCAGCTTTAGGGAGGCCTTCCTTGCTTCCATGAGATTAACCCCCACAGGTCCTTCCAGGTTCTCAGGCTGAAGATCTGAGAAAAAAATACCCTTGACTTCCTGCAGGGGGAGGAGGAAAGTAACCAATTTGAAATACCAACAGAGTACTCTGTTTTCCTTCAAAGAGGCCTGCCTTAAAGGGAAACTCTTTTACCAGGTCCTAACTAAACTTGGGTTTTACAGAAATCTAGTCAACTTGGGAAGGAAATATTAAACTCCATTTCACTCTAGTCTTTGATGTAGGGGAAAAGAAATACCCAACTCCAGCTTCTCTAGCTTTCCTGTCTCAGGTTGGGGCAGGGAGGGGTGGGAAGCTGAGAAACCTTGTGAAGGTCACAGCCCAGGAACACAGGCTCACTAAAAAACTGAGACTTAATCATAAGATTATAAAACACTTTCCCCTATACTTTACTACAATATTAATAGGGCTTCCATATAAAAACAGGATTCATTCCTTCAGTTACTATACAGGAAGAAAATAATTAACACATCACACGAAGAGAAGTACAATGGAGGAAAAAAGCAAAACAAGCTAAAGAGGATAAAGAGTACAAGGGATAGGTGTGACACTGCTATTTTATAAAGGATGGCCAACAAAAGCCCACCAGTAGGTGACATTTTAGCAAAGATTGGAAATAAAGGAGATGGAAGCAGTGGAAGAGTATTACAGGCAGTGGGAAGAGCAAATGTAAAGGCCCCAAAACATATAACTTCAGAAATGATTTTAAAACAAAATTGATAACCTGAGTAAACTTACAACCATTAAGAAGACTGAAGCAATGATTAAAAATACACCCAGATAGGGATAAGGAGCCCTTACAATATAGTTTTAAAGCTAATTGCCAGGAAACATTAAAGAAATAGATATATATAATCATATAAGTCTTTCAGAAAATAGGAAAAAAAGGCAACACTCTCCTATTTATTTAATGAGACTAGTATTCTCCTGATACCAAAATAGCCTGGTGCAGTAAAAGAAAAGAAACTCACAGGCCCATCTCACATAGAAACAGAAATGCAAACATTCTAAACAAAATATTAGAAAAATCAAAACACAAATGTATAAAAAAGGAAAAATGAAATGCTGATCTGATTGGGTTTATCCCAGAAATATAAACATGGCTTAACATTGGAAAACCCCATCAACAGAATTAAATTCATTAACATAATACATAAAAAAGCATATGACCATCTCAATAGATACAGTAAAAATACTCAGTGAAATTCAATACCCATTCATAACAAAACCTGTAACAAACTAAGAAGACCTCTATAACTCAATGCAACAAATATTACACTTACTTATGAAATATAAAAAGCAACTTTTTTTTTGAGATGGAGTCTCACTCTGTCACCCAGGCTCAATCTCGGCTCACTGCAACCTCTGCCTCCCAGGTTCAAGTGATTCTCCTGCCTCGGCCTCCCAAGTAGCTAGGATTACAGGTGTGTGCCACCACGCCCAGCTAATTTTTTTGTATTTTTAGTAGAGACGGGGTTTCACTGTGTTAGCCAGGGTGGTCTTGATCTGCTGACCTTGTGATCCGCCTGCCTTGGCCTCCCAAAGTGCTGGGATTGAGTCACCACGCCTGGCCAAATGCAACCTTTTAAGACTAGAAATGACACAGGAATGCCCACTATTTCTGTTTCTATTCAATGGTGTTATAGAGGCTCAGCAAAAATAATGAGAAAAGATGAAGTGAGTAGGTAAGAATTAGAAATGAAGGAAAAGATACTACTACCTTAATTCACAAGGAAAACCAAAGAGAATCTATAGACATATTATTTGAAAAAGAATAGGTTCAGCAATGTTGCCGGATATAAAATCAACATAAAAAATCAATTGTGTTACTAATATGCACAAAACAGTAGCTGAAATGGTATTTTAAAAAATATTATTGATATATTTTTTAAAACTCATCTACTGGTATACTTGAGATTTGTACAATTTACTATATGAAAATTTTGCCTAGAAAAGAACCATAAATAAATCTTAAACTCTAATGTTTCAGCTGAATTGTAGTAATGTCTTCATTTTACTTAAAATGCAAGAACAAAAAATATGATGGATTGATGAACAGCTAGAAGGATAAACTGACGTGATAAAGGAAGTAAAATGTTAATTCTAGAACCCAGGTCAGGGATTAGCAAACTGTTTCTATGCAGGGCCATATAATAGATATTTTTAGCTTTGTGGGCCATGTGGTGTCTATTGCAACTACTCATTTCTGCCAATGTAGAACTAAACAGCTATACATAACAGGAAAATGAATAGGTCTGACTCTATTTTGCTAGGAGGTCATATCAATGCTGGATCTAGGTGGGAAGTTGTTCACTGTAAATGCTTTTCAACTTTTCTGTTTAAAAATTTTTGAAATAAAATTTTAGAAGAAAATCATACTCACACACACACACACACACACACACATATATTCTTCTATTGGCAAGAGCAACAATGAATTGCCTTAGGAATAAATCTTATAACTGATATACAGAGACTAAAAGAAAATTGTTACACCTATAATTTTTTATGAACCTCTTTATGATGATTATACAAATCAGCTCGTAGAGGAAGATGTTAAAGAGCTCCTACTCCATTTTGAGGACAAAAAAACTGAAGGTCTTCCCTTGCTAGGCATCAACAGTTCACATAAAACTATGGATTAAAGCAACGTGGTATTAGCTAAAATTAGACAAACAGGCCAACAAATCAGAATACCAAGGCCCAGAAACATATCCATACACATAGAAAAATTTGGTATTATAGATCAAAAAAGTGAAAACTATTCAACATATGGTACTGAGACAAGGAGTCTTTTTTTAATCAATGAAATATGATATTGGAAACCCTCCTTACAAAGTTAATAAAAAATAAATTCCAGGTGGATTAAATAGCTAAATGTGAAACAATTCTTTAAATCTTTTAAAAGGAAATATATAAACACATTATAAAAATACTTATAACCTTGCTATGACTTTAAATAAGTTACAAGAAAAAATACATCGAATAAAATATATTTGACTATAAAAAGAAATACTAATTAAAAATTTAGAATTCTATTTAATACAAGATAAGAATCAACAAGTTGAAGGAAAAGTCACAGATTAGAATATATTTTCATGACATATAGCTCACAAAGATACAATATCTGGGATATAGTGTTAGAAGTCCTCAAATTAATAAGAAATCACTCAACAGAAAAACCAAGAAATATGAACTAGTAAAATACAGAAGAGGTAGGCAAACTGCTAAAATATGTGAAAAGACTTACAACTGCACTATCATCAGGAAATTTAAAATTAGTGTTATTGTAAAATACCTTTCCATACCATTGGATTAATAATTTTTAAAAATTTGATAAAAGAAAGTGTTACCAAGTAAATAAAGAAATGAGAACAGTTATCCAATGATGGTGAAAAGATAAACTGATAAATCATATTTTGTGAACAATCGGATAATAAATCTCAAGTCATACAAATGCAATTCTACTATGGGACACACACTTTACAGAAGCTCTCCCATATTTTGTGAAATCAAGGAGGAATACAAGGCTTCTTGTGTATCTGTAAGGTTTTAACTAAAGAAAAAAAACTAAAGTAGAACTGTCAAAATATAATTCTTACATTTCTTAGCTGGCATAATGACAATGTCACAGTGGTATCATCTAAAAGTGAGCTTCTATCTCGACCGTGTCCAAAGCTTTCGCCATCCTCAAAGAGAAAACTGAAAAGAAATTTTTAAAGATAAGAATATGCACACAAAATCCAGCTTATTGTCTCTTCTAGAAAGTAAAGTTTATTCTAAGTCATCAATCCCTTCTTCAAAAGAGAATTAAACTTTAGACTGGATGTTTAATAAAACAATGTATTGAGATTTCTTCAAACAAGTCTCATTTTTAGATATCTCTTGAGTAGGTATGAATATAAATATAGAGAATTTCAGAAAAACAAAAGTGTCATTTACAACTCTTTGTTCATGCAGTTTCAATGCTAACAGTACTCTCTTGACATTAACCAAATGTGTTCCTGAGAAAGTTTATAAGGGTGGAAAAAGACAAAGGGAAGAAATAAAAAGCATACTGGATAGTAACCTCACAGAAGAAAGAATATTGAATAACAAATGAATAAAATTTGTTTATAATTTCAATAACTTAGTTTTAAGAATCTATATATCCTTTTCACCATTCCTTCTTGGAATTTCCGTAAACATGTCTCTGATTTTCTACTTAATTCAATGTATGATGGTATAATCATAGTTAACAATTAAAATCAGATTAAGAGAGAAAAAAAATAGAAAATAGTCAATCCAAACAATTAAAACAAAAGTTTAAAATGTAAGAAAATGATGAGCAGATGACTTCCACAGTTACCTACAATGATCAAACCTAAGTCTTGAAATCTAAAAATTAAAATTTTATTTTATTTTATTTTGAGACAGGCTCTCTCATTTGCTCAGGGTGAAGTGCAATAGCACTTGGCTACGGCTACTTGGCTTGCTGCAGCCTCAACTTCCCTGGGCTCAGGTGATTCTCCCACCTGCAGCTGCCTGTGTAGCTAGGACTACAGGCACACAACACCATGCCCAGCTAATTATTTTTTCTTTGTAGAGACAGGGTTTCACCATGTTGCCCAGGCTGGTCTCAAACTCCTGGGCTCAAGCAATCCACCTGCCTTGCCTCCCAAAGTGCTGGGATCACAGGCATGAGCCACCAGGCCCAGCCTAAAATTAAAAGTTTAAAGTATTAGTAGAAGCTCAAGAAATTTAGGTTCATATTTTTTATGAATAAACATGAAGAGCAATGTTGATGATAATCTTAGCCCCAAGGCTGTAGAGGTATTTAACTTCCAGTCTAATTTCTAGCATGACATCTTCCTATACAATTTTGCAGATTTTTTTGCAACACACTAAGCACAGTGATCATCTCTACAACACGCAGTGAGGCTACAGAGTTCATTTACATTTACAAGTATGTTTGCGAAAAGAACATAATTCTTCAGAGTAGGCACAGTAAGCTAGTTTTTAGTTAACGCTCTTAAATATCCTATTGTGGTTTGTATATTTTTCATTAACATCAATTATTCCAAGATCTTCCCTAATATTAGCTTCATTTCGTACAGGTCACAAAGCAAAGTACTGATCAAAGACAACTGATGGGAACTCTACAATTAGAAACTTTGGACAATCAAAGTGTTGATTCCAATTGCTTCCAATAATCACTTCGTTGGAATGCCTGCCAAAAAAATTTTTAAAACAACAAATTTTCTTTTTTATTATTACCATATATGTACAATTATAACTATTTATTTATTTAAATTTTCAAGAGCAGTTACACTCCTTACTTGGGGAGTGTGCAGATAGGTGGTTTGGATCGAATGATTTCCTTGTTGACAAGCTCTTTCTCCAAGTCACCTCCAGCCAAACACCAAAGGTAATAAACTTCTTCAATAGATCTTTCTGCCAGGTAATCATTGTTTATATCTATTAAAAGCAAATTTAAGAAATCACTGTACTATATTTTCTACTTTTATTAAAAGTCAATAGGCAATGATAGCTGCCATTCTAAAAAAAATAAACAAACACTAAAGAACAGACTTCTAGTTTCTAGTTCTGATTGTAAGTAGCCTGAAATTTGCTACTCCATCCTAACAACAAATAGAAAGTTGAAGAGGCTGAAAAACCAACAATTATTGGATCTGTAAGAGAGTTGAGGACATAGGGCAAACTTCTGTCCCAAGTCTGGAGACAGGAGAATACAGGGAGCTACGGCCTGCTGGAACAGACATTTGTGGGCAGTGCCTCAGGAACCAATGCCAAATTTGGAAAATAAATGGTAATTAATAAATTACTAGAGGCTCAATGTAGACAAATCTGAAAGTTTAAAACTCCAGAGGGAACCAGTCATAAGGGATACCCCAACACTTCTGTGAGTTTTATCACCAGGAGTTTGACAAGGTTCTCACATTGAATACTGGAGAAAAATGCTCTTATGTCTCCAGCAGTGGCAGTGGAAATGGAACTATTTTGAAATACTATGAGCACTGTTCTTAACAACATCTGCCTTCAGGATAAACTGCTTCGTCAGAGCCTAGCTTGCATGGATAATATCAGAGCCTAACTGACCTGGAAAGAGGAAATACCAAAGTGCAGCCAGCTCTAGCCTTCTACGTGGTGGTTAAGGTGTGGGGAACAGAAGCATTCTGTAGTCAGTCCTATGATCAGCTCTCAATCTTTAAGTGAGCCAGTGACTCTGGACAAAGTGTTTCCTTGCCCTTAAGGAGTGGCTAGAATGAGCTGGAGCTTGGTACTTCCCTTATCCTACCTGGAGGTGGAGAATCTGCCAGATTCTCCACTGGCAGATTCTCATTCAATTTTTGTAATAATTTGAATGCTCCAGGCTGAAAATAATATACTACTAAAAGTGGCTTATATAATAAAGACATTTATTCATCTGTCTTAATACAATCATAGGTACAGGAGGGGCCTATGCTTGTCAAAATTCCAGACCATTTCCTGCATTCAGAAGAGAAGAAAGTGGTGTACCTATGCTGCAGTACCTTTCCTGTCACAAAATTTTTTTTTCCCTATAATGCCCAGTAATTTCATTTAGATCCCATTATGCCCAGTAATTTCATTTAGATCCCATTAGCCAACCCTAGTTCACAAGCTTACTGCCCATATCAAGGGAAACCAGAAAAAGGAAAATCCGGAATTTTTACCCTTTATAATACATAGTATTGGTAATTTTACACTGTATATTGCAAAAAGAATAAGGGTAGAAAACAGCACATGGGGAAGGAACCAGCACAAATTGTTCCTTCCCTCATGTCTCAAGGCAATGGCTGGCTGCCTTTTCTGAAGTCTTCCTTGATGTCCTGGACAGAAATACAGAACTAGGTGATCCTGCTGTGCTGCCATTGTGCTATACTCAAATTGACCTTAATTTATAATAGTGATTGTATAACTAAATGTCTGTCATGCCATTCCATTTGGCAGGAATGTTACTTAAAATACAGTATGTGACACATACCAGGAACTCAATAAATGTTTAATTGAATGAATGTTTAGTTAACTATTTTCTGCCATGACTTAAGTCACAAAAACTTTTCAGAATAGAGGTAACTTACTGGTGTCACTAAACCTTACATTCCAAGAGTTGTAATCTTCACACAAGAACTGAAAGACTAAAAGCTGATATTCTCTTCAACATTCACAATATAATGGTATATAATTCTTTTCAATAATATTTTTAGATATCATTTATAAATACATTATATAGAATATCAGTAACTTAAATTTAAAGGATAAACTGTTAGTTTAAGTGTGTGTGTGCGTGTGTGTGTGTATGTTTATTCTAGCCACTTCTTAAGGGCAAGGAAGCACTTGTCTAAAGGCTAGAGGCACAGGCTCCCTTAAAGATTCAGACGTAATCACAGGATTGACTATACAATGCTTCTGTTAGCCTTAACCACCACATAGAAGGCTAGAGCTGACTGCACTTTGATATTTCCCCTCACCAATACACATATATATATTTGTGTGTGTGTATGTGTATATACTTTTTATTTTTTGTAGAGACAGGATATCTCTATGTTGACCAGGCTGGTCTCAAATGCCTGGCCTCAAGCAATCCTCCTTCTTTGACCTCCCAAAGTGCTGGGATTATAGGAATGAGCCACCACACCCAGCCAGTCAGTTATATTTTAATCACTTCCAGAATCATCTCTTAATTCCCAGATAACTGTCTATATCACTAATACATATTGTTGATAAATTCAGCTGAAACTAGGATAAGAAAAATTCCTTTAAAAACAAGGCTCATATTATTTTATATGCTTTAATTGATCATTACCTTTACACAACTGACTGATATCCTCAGGCAGAGTTAAATCAGCACATCTCAGAGAAGATGAAAATAGACTGGCAGGTTTGGTAAAGTGGGTATATAAAGGTGACACCTCACTGAAAACTTTGTCCTTCATTAATTCATCTGGGGTTAGCCTTGAAAACATTTAAAATACAGAGCATGAATGAAAGTCATAAAAAATTTCCTATAATAATGGCATACATTCAAGAGGATAAACATCTTAAATATCTCATTAGCACAGAAAATAATACAGCTCTCCTTTGCAGAGTCCACATGTATACTTTTATATTACAATCAATTAACTGTGAGTAAATACTGAAATCTGATTTTTTTTTACTTATGTTGTACTTTCTTTACCTTATGATGTATCAAAAATATCACTCCATAAGAGCTTCTGCATTTTTTTTTACTTTTAGCCTGATTAGCATTCACCTGCTTTACTGAATATCTTAATAATAAATATGCAAACTATTATAATAATACCTTTTGGGTTTTCTTCCTGTCCTTTACTTTAATGTGGTACATTCACACAAAACTACTATTTCTCTTTAACATGTCTTGATAAAGTTGTTTTGCTAAAGACAAATTTGGAAACACTATTTTCAAACATTATATACTTAAGGAGTTTAGGAATAGCTGTGTGACTAGCAGTGATATCATCAAATGAAAGTCAATTAATGAACTTCTAAGAAATCCTTTCTTATTATCAACAATTGTTAGTTTACTATATCACTTACCCAAATTCATTGCCATAATACATATTGACAACAAACTTTTATTCTCAATTCTCTGATGATACTATTGGGTCTAGGAATACCTACATTCCACAGTTTAGTTGATTTTCTACTTAGAAGCTTGGAAATGAACTAGTACCTTCTTTAGTATATGTCAGTTTTTGACCATGGTTTAACTTTAACTACTTTTTCATTTATTCACAAAAAATGAAAGCTTACATCATTCACAGTTATGATGCTGATGTCAATTTTATATTACTACATATGTACATTATGTATATTTAATCCATTACGTTAGGACAAATAAGAAAAAAATCAAGTGCTTATGTGTAAAGGATCTCAGTGTAATCCCAGTATCTAAATAACATCAACCTCTTAGAAGGATGGAAGGTGAGACATTTCTTCAAAAGATCTATCACAGTTTCAGGAAGCTCCTGGTAAAGAGAGAAAATAATTAATTAAAATGATCAATTTTAGTAATATATTTTATTTAAATGTTTGATAATCTAGAAGGTTTTTTTTTTTAAAGTTTTTATTTGTACTTTATACAAATTTAGTCACTGTGCAAAGGCAAATACTTAACGGGAAATAAGCATTGTTTTAAAATAGCTTGCAATTGGATCCCTAGTGTGTAAAATAAATTTGATTAACAGATTGCCATGTTTTTATTGTATCCCCTCCAAAGTTTAGGCCTAATGAACTTTGAAACTTAATGGTCAATGTGATGGTATTAAGAGGTAGAGCCTTTAAGAAGTGATTATGTCATAAGAGCTCTTCCCCTGGTGAATGGCATTAAGAGGCTTATAAAAGGGAGACTTCACTTAGCAATTGCCTAGTTTGCCCTTCGGCCTTGTGAGGACAGTATTCTTCTCTCAGGAGACTGCAGCCCTCACTAGACAACTGAACCTAATGGTGCCTTGATCTTGGACTTCCTAGTTTCAATAGCTGTGGAAAAATAAATTTTTGTCTTTATAAATTACCCAATATTAGGTATTTTGTTATAGCAGCACAAATGGACAAACCTTGATAATGACAAAGATTAATGACAAACCTTTATAATGTCCAGACAACCATGCTCTTCAGCCAGAACTATTAAAGTGTCATCTACACAATCTATAAAACAGAAAAAAACTATGAATAAATGCTTCTTTTCTAAACTATCCAACAAATCAGAAAATAAACTCTGATCAAAAATGTTTTAATGGAGTAATGCAGTTCTGGAACTCAGAATACTGAAAACTTTATCATTTTGTTAAATTTCCTTACATGTTTTGATAAAAATGAAAAGCTTCAGACAAATACTAATTGAAAAACCGATACTGAAAGATATCAGCTTAACAAGTTTGATAAAAGAGCAATTCCTTTACAAGAAGGTAAAGATACTCGATCTCTGTCTCTAAATACATACATGCAGACACACACAGTTGACCCTTGAACAACATGGGTTTGAATTGCACAGGTCCACTTATATGTGGATTATTTCCAACCAGACATGAGTTGAAAAATACAGTATTTGTGGATGTGAAATCCAATGTATGGAGGACCCATTTTTCATACACATGGATTCTGCGGGACTGACTATGGAACTCGAGTACACATCAATTTTGGTACATGTGCAGGTGCTATAAACAATTCTCTTCAATAAATGACTGCATATAAATATCACTTTTAAGAAGGCTTTGTAACTTTTTTTTTCATGATTACAAGAAAAATTTGTTTTATTATATATAATTTGGAAAATGTACTTACATTTATCTGGGAATTTAAAGTATAAGTTTAGATTACAGGCCACATTTAAGAATCTCCAAAGCTTCTTAATAGCTGTAGTATTAATCTTTGTAATTAAATGTGGTAAATCAAGTAAAATTTTTGCAAATTTACTTATAAATCATTATTATTCAATGTTTACTAATATTTTCCTGTATATATTCTTATTTGCAAACCTTCATAACTTGGATACTAATAGGTCACTCTTTTACATAAAGTGTTCTATCACTGTTTTTTTCTCCTTAATTATCAAACATGCTTAATTATTTCCAATCTAAAGCAGATTACATAAATTTTTATTAATTTGAATTACATGTTTGGATCTACATACATGAAAATACATATTAGCCTTTTATAAAGAAAAATTAATATTCTTCTTGAGCTGTTGTTTGTACATGATTCATCAGATAGAAAAATAGCTCAAACATTAAGATATACTTCTGCTATAAAAATACAATTTTATATTCTCATTTTGATTTCACAAGTTAATTTACTTGGCTAGATCATAAAGCTATGATTATTTCCATCTAGGTTAAAATTCCTCAGAGAATAAAAAAATTTCTGCTATAATATTTTAGAAGGCACTTCCTATGCTGTTCTGCTTATCATTACCACTGATCATTAGTAACTTGAGCAAAGGGGGTATTTCAGTGTACTCACTATTTCAAAAGAACACATCATCAATGTTCATGATTACTAATAGATACTAAGTTATATTTATATTTGAAAGATAAACAATTTTCTGACATTTACCCAAAGTAAGCAAAAATTTTAGTCTTTCGGAAATATCCAAGCTCTGAAATAATTTTCTTCCCTAAATAAAATGAGAAAAGAAATTTGTGTTAATATTTACATCTTTTTTCTAGGGAGGTCTTTTTCTCCCCCCATAGCTGAAACTGATTTTATCAGACATCTCCATTTATCTCAAAAAGTTTTATTGGATTTTTAAAGTCAGCTCCACTAAAGAAAAATTACCTGGTGAAATAACATTTTAGAATGTGTTGCAAAACATGTATCATTTAAAAATTTCATACATTTAAGGGTCACTATATTCTAGTTTGATATAAGCATTGTTCACTTTTGAGATCCATACATACCTGGATATCTAGAGGTATTCCGGGCCACCTGGAGCCATTGAGACCAAGATGCCTCCTGGTTAAGACCAATTATACCCTTTCATCTACCGAACTAATTGTTACTTGAATATAATGATTCAGGTGATCTATTCTCCATTAAAAATTTTCCTAACACTCCTTCCTCTTCCCACAATAACTTCAGACAGCCTTACTTTGTGCTCCTACACACCTGGTATATTTTTAAAAGATGCACACATTATATTTTAATTGTTTCCTTATTAGCTTCAGGAGGCTCCTTGGTATAAGGTCAGGAGTCAACAACTTATACCTTCAGCATTTATGAGCTGAGCAATGATTGTGTGCCAACTGAACTCTTCCACCACCAGACAGTTATATAATTTGGGCAAACTACTTAACCACCTGAAGTCTTACTTTTCTCATCTATAAAATTAAAATATTAACTGTACCACAGGTTACGGTGAGGGTTACATAATGCAGAGTATGCTTCATTAATGTTAGTTATCATATTTCTCTTATCATAAATAAATTAAGCTTATATAATCATTTAAATAAACTTAGAAGGAAAAGGCTTAAGAGTACCTGATGTTTACAAAGAGATGCTTTGATCTTTTTTTTAATAGAGAAGAAAAAATGTTCTTAAACACTTATCAAATCAGCACTACAGGTAGAGAGATCATTGAAAAAAAAGCTGTCAGTCTTCTCAATCTTAAATTACTGAAATTGCTGTAATATAAATCTAAAAATGCGGGTTTGATTTCAATATACTGTTAAACTTTTAATGGTACTCCATATATCTTATATAACTAAATATAAACATCTTAACTTAGTAAAAATGTACACATTACTAGAGATATCAAAATAATATACATCTGGTAACATTCACATTCACACTTAGTAAAAGAATGTTTCTAGGGATCCAAAAAAAAATGTGAATTTATTAAACATGATTAAGTCAAATTAAACCTTTTCTCCTCATATGTAATCAATTTGTACAGCAAAAACATATTATTAAATAACTTTCCTCTCCAAAAGATTATTTCAATAAATGCACAATTTGTTTTTATTATATTAATATTTCTTTATACATACCACACAGAGCTCAAATAAAATGATTCCAAGGGACCATACATCTGATTTGGGGCCAGAAGGCAATGGTTTTTTACTTGGCATGTGATCAGTGGTTTTGAAAATTCCCTGTGCAATTACCTCAGGGGCCAAGTATGAGGGATATCTGTAATGATACATTAAAATAATGAATAATTACAACAGGGAAGGAAGCAATAGTACATTTTTACAATCAGTGTGGTAAGATCTATGTAAAAGTCTCATGCAATTAAATTAACAACTGTTGCTGGAAAACATTCTAAACTAATCATCGTAATACAGATATTTAATGTCAAGGAATCAAGAGTAAATATACACAAGTCCTAAATACTTTTAAAATTCTCAAGTCTCCCTCCAACATTAATTCCTTTCTTTGCTTTTCTCTGTATTTTTAACACAGTCCTCTAGGCTTCCAAGGACTTGTTTTTCCTTCATCCTTATTGCCTATCTTCTGTTAATACTAAATATTTAAAGTGTATTTTATCTTTTAAAAAGTAGTTACTATTTTTAGTAGTAGAATGTCAATGCTATAAAAAGATATAAATTGAAAAATGAATTCCTAGCTCTATACCCCTGTCACCCATACATATTTATGTGCATATAACTTTGTCCAGCCATGACTTCTGCTCCCACATGGTAGAATACTATACATATTGCTATATACCTCTCTGTTCTTTAAAAACACGAGTATAGAGTTTCCTCATTTTTGAAAACTGCCAATAATTTCATTGGTGCACTTAAATTGACAAAAAAATATATTTTAGAACTTCCATTATTCTGCTATTATCAGTTAGATGAATATATTATAAATATTTCCCACAAGTATATACATATAAAAGACAGATATATTCTTAGCAGTGGGACTCCAAGATCATAAGGTATGCGGATTTTAAATTTTGATTAATCACACCAAATTGCCCTTTGGAGAAGTTGTATCAACTTATATTGTCATAAGTTATACATGAGGGTGCCTATTTCCTCACAATTTCACTCACATAAAAAGTTTTTTTGAAAATTGTTTAGCAAATATTGAATAAATGTGAAACACTGTTGATTAAATATGAATAAGGTATAAAGAAGAAAGCTTCAATGAACACCCATGTACCAAGAAGCAGTTAAAGTGAAGAACATAAAATTATCACTGAAGGTCCCTTTGTTCTCCCTGATTCGATCTCCAGCCCTGTTCTTCAAAAGGAAAAGATGTCTAGAATTTTTATGTTTATCATTCTCTTCTATTTCCTGATGGTTTTGCCATATGTTTGTATTCCTAAAAAAATATACTGTTTAGTCAAGCACATTTCTGAACTTTATAACATTGGAATTAGGATGACTGTATTCTTTTGCTTTTTCAGTCAACATTATCTATATTGTTGCATGAAGGTGTATCCATTAAATTCTTATTTCTATTTTATGAAAACATCATAATTTAGTTATACATTCAAATGTCAATGGCATTTAAGTTGTTTCCTGCTTTTCATCATTCATATTATGAACAATGTTGCACAGAATACCATGTATGGTATACATCTGAAAAAGGTTCCCAAGGGTAACAACCTAGAACCAGATTTCTAAGCTATAGGATATGTGCACTTTCTACTTCATTACATGAAACCAAATGTTTTTCAAAAGGAGTTATAGCAATCTATACACCTGCCAGCAGTGAATGATAGTTCTTATTGTTTTACTTCTTCACCAACACTTGATATTTCACAGATTTTTTTAATGTTTAACAATCTGGTATGTAAAATCTATTATGGTTTTAAATTGCATTTCCTTGAAAACTAATGACATTGAGGCATGTGTTCATATGTTTATTAGTATTTGGGTTTGTTATTGTGTGATGTGCCCATTCAAGTCTTTTGCTTATTTCTCTAGTTGTTTTGGGGTCCCCAATACCACTCTCATGTTTAGAAATTCACTAGAAGGACTTAATAGACCTAAGTGAACTCACAGCTAAGATTTATTACAGTGACACAGTAAGGACATAGCTGGATCACAAGGGACAAAGACAGAGAGGGAGTCTTAAGGAACCTATATGCAGGCTTCCTTATGCTCTAACCCTCCTATCAGAGATCACACACAATACATTCTTCTTCCAGCAACAAAAATGTAGCACCATGTATGTGACGTATTTTTCTCTTTTTTTTTTTTTAACCTCTTTCCAATCTTGAAGAACAAATGTTATGTGATGTTTCTGGCCAGGGAAGTCCATTGAAAATTCAAGGATTTTATTTGGGACTTGTCACACAGGCACTCTCTGCCTGTCATGTACAAAAATTCAAGACCTCAAAAAGAAAAGCAAGGATTTAGCATAAACCGCTTTGGTTGTTTACAACGACAGTAAACTAGCCTCAGCAGTTAGGGATCCATGGGAACATTTTTGCAATCGAGGTTTCAAGACAATAGCCAATGGCAAACATTGCTAGCAGGATTTATTTTCTAAAGACAACAGTCTTAGGCTATGATAACCTTTTACTGCACAGCTGTTCTTTAATTCCAGATACTAATGCCTTCTTCAGTAATTATGACTTGACATACTTTCTACCACTTTGTGGTTTTGGTTTTTCTTTCTGTTTATCAGTAAGAAGTTCTTATCTTTCATTTATAATCTTTTTTCCTTATACTTACTGATTTTGTCAAAATAATCTATTATTTTCTCAAAGTTTCACAGTTTAGCCATTTATATTTAAGTTTCTTGATCCATCTAGAATTCATTTTTCATATAATGTCAGACAAGGTACAATTCGTTTTCCTACATAATCAACTGAGGCCTGTTCCCTTTATTGAAATCTCTTGTCTTCCTAAGTAGTCTGCAGTGTCAGCTGTGCCCTAAATCAAATCTCCAAACATATGTAGGTTTGTTTCTTGGCTCCCTCATCTGTTCATTTGGTCAATTTGCCTAATAGTACAGTATTACACTGTTTTAAATAAAATATTTTATATAAAACATATTTTATTAAATATTACTGATAATTGTTAGACTTCTCAGAACAGACACATCTTTTAGTTTCTCTTTGGGAAAATGTAGGCTCTTTTTTGTAAGTGTTTGTTCTTCTTTATATACATTTTAAAACTACCTTGCCAAGTATTTTCTCTTTCATATACAGTTAAATTTTTATTGAAAATAGGTAAGATATAAAGACAGGCTGTAGAGAACTAACATCTTTACAATACTAACCCTAGCAATCTGTAAACATGCTATCTCCATATTTATATAGGTCTTCTATAATGTCTCTCAAAATGATTTATATTTTTTCCATAAAAGAACATACTGTCATGGGATTTTAGGGTGCTGCTTTGCCAGGTAGAAATCTCTACAGCCTTTACCTGAGTTTACTTGGTGCCTTTGTCTGAGTTTACTTGGGCCCACTGTGCTCATTCCATCCACTTGGACTGGCAGGCTGTGGTCGGCTGGAGCTACTGGCCTGGATGCCACGCCTGCCAAGGGAGAGCCAGGCATGGAGAAGCAAGGGGTATATGAGTGAGCATGGGGTCTGGCACTGTGCACAGCCATGTTCAATGGCTGCAGCAGGGCAGGCAGGTCCAGGTGCTGGCACAGACGATGGCTCCCTGTAAGGCTGCAGCTGAACCAGGTATGTTGCAAGCAGCTTCCATGGCTGGCACCAGGGAACATGGTTGTGCCTGGAAGCTTGCAGATGCCGGGAACTGCAGAGCCCCAAAGAGAGAGTCACAGCCCTGTCTTAGAAAGCTCCTGGGTCTGGGCTCCCTAAAGGGCCACAGCTCTTTTCTCCTGTTCTGCAATGTGGCAAGCAAGGGATTGTTTCAGCACTGTTTGTTATAGCTGTCTTAGCCCTACCATTTGGCAGGTCCCGAGTTCTTGTCCTGCATCCAGCAAGAATAAGGTATGTGGACAAGTGGAGGGTGAGCAAGGTAAATAGATTTATTTAGCTATAGAACAGCTAAATAATGGGTAGTTCCTCTCCACAGGCAGGGTGTCCCTACGAGTGTTCAGCCCTCAGCAGAAAGAAGACCCTGCAGTGGGTAGCTCCTCTCTGCAGCTGGCCATCTATCAACTGCTTAAGTCTGGCTGAATCCAGGGTTTTTATGGGCCTTAGATGGAAGAAGTGCACACCCATTGGTCCATTTGTGGCCATGGGTGGGCCCAGAAAAAGCACAACGAGTTCCTACTCATGTCCACAGGACCAGCAGGAACTCCCCAGGCTTCAAGCCCTTCTCAGCTTGAAAGTGGGGCTTCACCAGGGACCCGCCCCCTTTTGCCCAGGAACCTGTTTGACTCCTGTTCATCGTACCCAGGCTGTTCATGCTAAGGGGTGCCTGCAGGCCAGTGCTGAGCTGCCCTCTGTCCCCCTTTGGAATCCCTCCCTTGCTTGTCGGTGTGCAAAGTCCACAGGAGGCTGGCATGTCCATGCTGCCTTGAGTGTGTGCACGCCTAGCCAGGGTGCAACAGTGCCTGGGCTTGGCCCCAACCTTGCTCAAAGATCAGAGTGGGCACAGGGAACACAGAGAGGCCAGGCAGTGAGGCAGACATTTCTGAGCCTACATCTGCACCCGGAAAGCAGGGCTCCTGCCTGCTCCTGGCCCCCAAGAGCACAGGGAGTCTCAGGTCTGTAGCCCCAAATTGGGTGGCTGCAGCTATGTCCAAGAAAGGCAGGGCTGCTGCCTACTCTTGGCCTCCATAGGCTCTGTGAAGTGCCAGCCCCAGCAGTGCCTCCCCCATTGCAGCCAGCAGCATGGTAGTGGCCATTCCACGCAGGCCACTGCCGCCATCAATACCTTATCTGATTCTATAAAGTACTATTTTGCCTGTTCTATATCTTATATGATAAGCTATACAAGATACGATGCTATACATGTTTTATATACTATAGATTTCACATACAAAAATTTAACCTATCATCTCAATTAGAAAAAAACAAAAACAAAAAAAACTATGTACTTGAGGGCGCTTGTATATCTTTTTATAAACCCTCTACAACTACCAAAGAAACTTAAGTAGAGGATATGCTCAGCAAAGTTTTGCTTAAAAAAAGAAAAAAAAATTTCCTATCAAAAATGCGCATTAGGATAGCCTTACAAACAACAATTTAAAAAGTGGTTAGTAAATAAGAATTAGACATGGGGCATTTGCTAAATTTGAATAAAAGAAATAAGAACAGTTTTAGAAGAGAGATGGAGTGAAATTTTGCCATGGTTATTATACATGTGCATGCCCTTTCTTCATTTATTGTCAGATTTAGTCGTGAGTACCACAATCTGGATTTTAAAACCAATTAAATTACGTCCTCTTACAATGATGAATATAATCAAAATGTATTTAAAAATACATATCACATATGTAATACATAATAAGCAGACATTCAAATATTAATTCTATTTTTTCTCCTACCTTTTCTATAGCCACTTCCTCACACATCATTGCTAGTACTTCTTATTTACATTCAAAATACCAGTCAATTAGATCAGGCTATGTGACTTAAATTCAATAGGGCAAATTTGGTTTTTAACTCCTTTTTTTTTTTAATAGAATGTTGATGGTGATACCAAGAAAATTATTATCTTCTTATAATTTGCACATGTATTTCTCTAAAATGATCATATTGCTCTTCTAAATGAATGTGTGATATCTCTAGAAACAGCTAACGTCTAGTGGAAGCAGCACTCAACTAGATGTTATAATACCACTGTACCTGCTAGGCACAGTGGCTCATGCCTGTAATCCTAGCATTTTGGGAGGCCAAGGCAGGTGGATTGCCTGAGCTCAGGAGTTTGAGACCAACCTGGGCCACATGGTGAAACCCTGTCTCTGCTAAAAATACAAAAAATTAGTGGTGCGTAGCCATGTGCGCCTGTAGTCCCAGCTACTCATGAGGCTGAGGCAGGGAATTGCTACATGGGATGCGGAGGTTGCGGTGAGCTGAGATTGCACCACTGCACCCCAGCCTGGGCAACAGAATGAGACCCTGTCTCTAAAAAAAAAAAAAAAAAAAAAAAAAAAAACCTGTATTCTAATTTCAGTTATACCACATACTCTATATGTGATTTGGGTTTCTTCATCTGTAAAACTGGAATATTAATGCCTACTTCACAAAACTTAAAAATATTAGTGAATATATAAAGACATTAAATAAAAATAAAAAATTTAATACAAATGCAATGATGTACTTTTATCATCAGCACAATATTTCCAGAAGTCAGTGTTCATCTTTATTCCTGATTTCCAGCACATCTAACCCTAAAATGGTAATAATGAGAAGTCAAGCAAAACTACAGGTAAATTATTACATCAAAAACTTCTGACAGGACAGAGATAAACTTTGTTTCAAATATTTTAGTTACCCTTTTAATCATAGAAAAATTATTAAAAAATAATAAGCTCTAGAATTGTTATTTAATGTAGGTCACCTTTTTTCAACAACCTTCTCTTCTGCAGCATAGCATTTTAACACTCAAAGACAATTACCAGAACTTTGCTGTGAGTATGACTGGTATAAATGGCTTTCAACATCTGTTTGATGTTTTAACAAGGTATTAAGCTACTGGCCAACTGAAATGAATGCCCAATTTCCAAGTCTTTACAGTATTTTGAAACAGATGGTAACATTTTACTTTGTTGTTCCTTAATATTTGTCTTTTGAATCAACTGCAAGCTTCTTCTGGTGTAAATATTTTCTTTCATGCCTTAGCTGTTTGATCACTTTATTTTTCCTGGCTAATGTTTCACATTTTGCTCTTTGATATTTTCTGGTAAGACCTTTTAGGTCTAAGACTTCAAAGCAAGCCAGACCAAATGGTAACACAAGACCAATTCTATCCAAGCATTTTAAATTTAAGTGTAGCTCTTACTTGACATGGTTTAAGAAAAATCACCTCTTTTCTTCGATTCATCATTGAAACCTAAAGTACCTTTAAATAAAAATCAAAACCTTAAAGTAATTTTTATGTTATGTTTTTGGATTTCTTTCTTACACAAATTGATAGAGACAAAAGCAGCAGCAGAAATCACTTATACTACAGCTTCTTAAAAGTCACTTTGAAAGGCATTTATCATATATGACAAAGAAGCTAGAGCTTCACTAAAAACTTACATTCAAATATAAGTTGAATAAAAAACCTCTTTCATATTCAAAAGGGTTTTTTTTGAACAAATAAGAAATTGTAGATTATCTTTGCAAAATGTCATTTTCATGCTTATGAAACAAGAATTGGTTTTTGCCTATAAGTTTTCAGTACACAAAACTGTAAGACTATGAATTTATGTACCTTAATAAGTAGCCCATCAAAACAGAAACTTCTCCCACTAAACAATGAGCTTCTTGGGGACAGAAAGCAATCTTATTTTTGTAAAACCAACAAGCAGAAGAAAAATTGCTCAATAAATGTTTCCTCACTGACAAAAGTCTAAATTTATTATCTATATGTCTTAATAGTAAGACACAGGTTATGAATTTAACAAAAAGTTTAATTCAGAAAACTATAATTTGAGTTATAAAGAAAAAAGGGCAAGTTATGTATGAGGTGGACTAAAAAAAAATCAAATTAAGTTTTTAAGTAACATTCTGTTTCAAAAAGACACTCCATGACTCCATATTACAATTCTTAGTAATGGTGTGATAGAACTGATTTTTGGAAGCCCGAAGAGGAAAACTCAAATGCATACTATGAAAAAACAGCCACACTACAATTGAAAAAATATGATTAAGGTCTTTAGGTTAGATGATATTACTCCATCAAGTTTAGTTTCCTTATTTTGACAACTGTTCTGAGGTCAAGTAAAATAAAAGTCCTTCTTTTAGAAAATACAAACTGAAGTACTTAAAGTGTTATTATGTACATTAATTACTATTAAGCGATTCTAAAAAACAATCATTGTACACATACACACATGTATATTCAGAGAAAAAGACAGAAAAGCAAATGTAGTGAAACGTTAACATTTGGAGAAGCTAATGAAGGGTATAGAGGAATTCTTTATGCTATTTTTGTAACTATTTTGTCTAAAACAGTGTCAACTTAAATCTTTAGAAAAGAAAGTAATTATATTATGAAAATATCTAAAAGCAACCACACAAATATAACACAAATATCTTTATCAGAAACAACTACTTGAATATCTACGAAACAACCTTCCATTTCTTTTGTGGAGGGCAAATTACATCTACAATTCCATACTAAAAGTGCTTAAATAAAACTTTTTGAACTTAAATATAGACTTTCAGGTATGGAATTTATCTCTAATATCCACAGTGATTCAACTTGAGTCTTAATATACAATTATATTTTAGAGAAAAGGGGATTAAACATGAAACACTAAATTGAAAGTAATGTGAGAGTAATGTTTTTCAGTCTCTTGATGCACACACATTATCATTAATTGAGAATCTAGTTGTCCTTCTTGCCTTAAGTTGATTTGATTCTGAATGAAATATAGATAATTAGGAAATTTATAATGTAAGGAAGGTTAACACTGTTAGCTTCTCTGCCAGTTCAATGAATGATCAACATCAAGGATCTATAGATGCTGGGAAAAAACTCATTGTCTACTCATTTAAAAAGCATATGGAAAAAAAGAGGCATTAATTTTAAAAAAGCTGTTTTCATGTCAAAAAGGAATATCAAATATAATTAACAAAATATACATGTTAACAAAGGTTACAAAATTTAAAAAGAAACTCAAAATAGAGGAAAACATACTCTTACCCTATTGGGAAATCAACATCATCACCATAAGCTGTCATGTGATAAAGTCCAAATTTAGCCAATTTAATGTGTCCCTACAATAATAAAGAGAAAAAACACTATCAAATGTTTTAGTATAATTGGCAAGGAAAATTATCATTATACATTTTATAACTAAAGAAACCATTATAAAACAATATTTTATCAAAATACCACTATAAAAGATTTGTTTTAAAAACACAATTTTATAAAAAACTATCTGCCAATATTTAGTCTGCTTTACATTCATTAAATATGCACATAGGCATATGTACACATATATTCAAAATGACAGTTGACATTTTTCTTTAGTATTTTTGCTGTTGCACTGTCTAATTATTTCAAAAAGTTATTTAAAACAAAAAGGCAAAAATGTTTTCATCTGTCTTGAAACCCTGGTTAGAATGTTTTGTGGTAATTTTCACAAGGGAAATTTTTTTCCACAGAATTGCAAGTCCATTTGTAGTTACAATTTAACTGTGAAATAGGAAAATTTAACTTGGAAAGATCAGTTCAAAAATCATCAAGATTTTGGTGAATCTGCTATATTGTTTGGGAACAAAAATAACTATCATAAGTATGAGGTTCTTAATAAGTGACAAATATAACTTTATGTCTTTTAAGTTTTTTCCCTTTTAATTTATAAGACTTTGAAAATACTAAGTTATCTTAAAATTTGTATGTCTTCTCAAGAACATTATTTCCATGTATTATAAAATATTTATATTTAAAAACAGCTTGGATTGATATGGCAATGATTCTTTACTGCCACAAATTTGAAATTAATGAGTACAATTTTCACTTTTGCTGTTTGTGTATTTGTTTTGTAGAGACAGGGTCTCACTCTGTCATCCAGGCTGGAATGCAGTGGTATGATCATAGCTCACTGCAGCCTCAAACTCCTGGGCTCGGCAACGCTGTCATCTCAGCCTCCCAAGTATTGATTTGGTAAAAGAACCAGAAAACAAGTATAATCCTACTAATACAGCAGATAATGCCCATGAAAAAATTTCTTTTAAGTTGTTTTTATATATTTTGTGAAGAAAAATAAAATTACAGTTATTCTTGAAAATATACAATCTTGCTTTCCATAATTCTCTTAGAAAGGTTTACTACCTTCTTCTTAATGCCACGTAAGATTTCCTGTAGGGAGGCAACACTTCAATAGTAAAAGTAGGTAGGTATGAACAGCTGGTATATAAGGAAATAAATAGAAGAGGAAAGGAGGAAGAAAAACAGAGAAAACACAATGCAGTTGGTTTATATAAATAACATTCTAGCAAAAAGAGCCATTTTCTTAAAAATGAAAACAAATTCAGAGAAGAAGTATGTTAGGAAGCCACAAGGCTTTAGAAAAAAGAAGAAAATTTAGAAAACCATAAAGATAGAAAATGAGTCTTTTGGAAGAAAAAATAATCCATGTGAAAGATACACAGATTAAAAAATTTAAAGATTCTTTTTTCAAAAACCACAATTATATCACTTTCATATTGTCTTTTCATTGCGAATATTCTTAAAACATATTCTGATTCTATTGTTCCTCTGATTGAGTAGGCCTGATTCCAGTTGCTTCCAATACCAAACAATATATAAATATTTATTACATGATTTAACAATTACCTTTCGGTCCAACAGGATATTATGAGGAGACAATGCCCTGTGTACTATACCATGTTTGTTCATATACTGCAAGCCCTGAAGAACCTCAAATGCTATGCACAAAACGGTTGAACAGCTACAAAGAAAACAAAAAGTCAAAGTTCAATTACAAAGCAAATAAAGAACTTGATTTAACAAGTGAAATGTGACCTAGTAAAAACATCCAAAAAGTTATATTTTTATTGCTCCTCTTTCATTCTGAGAACATAAAATCTGTATATTTTCTAAAATATCAACCTCTACATATTTTAGATTTTCTGATTATAATGGAATTGATCTGACAAAGAGCCTACCGTTTCCTAAAGGCTACTGTAATTGCAGTATTTGGTCCTTCCAGGGAAGGACTTTAATTTTCAGTGAGTGCAACTAACCTATAGCAGGTTTGGCTTTGCCAAATTATCAGTTAAGTTTCAGACTCACTTATGGCAGAACTAAGTCAATAAAAACTATTCTGCTCCATACAAAATGCCTAAGCCACTAAAAATAATAGTAACAATGTATTTTATGGTATACAGACACTAGCTTATTTTCCATACTCAACTTACAAAGCAACTTTTGGTCATTTATGATTTAGCAAACATTTATCTTTAATTCTTATCCTACCTTCTATGAGCCATCCTTCACACAGATATTCTCCAGTTTCCTTCCCCTTTTCCCTCCTCTCTCTTACCATCCATCTCTCTATTTTTTTTTTTTTTTTCCAATTTGCAAGTCTATTCAAGTAAATTACCTGGAAACAGGTACTATATTTGGGTGAGTATTGCTACTTAGCAGGAGTAAGTAGGATTTGGAGCATGTTTTAATTTTTATCATTACCTCTTTATAAAGTAGGGATTGTTTATTTGCAGACATTGGTGTCTGAATTAAAATTTTTTCCTGTTGGCATTTCTTTTTTTTTTGAAAAGTTTAGATCTCAGAATAAAGTTTAATATTTTTTTTTGAAAAGTTTAAATCTCAGAATAAAGTTTAATAACAAATGTAATATTGATATACAATTAAACTAGCTTTATTAATTATAATTTTTTAATCACGTAGGAAATTTCCGCATATCAACAATATTAACATTTTGGTATATATTTTCCTATCTATCCATTTTTTTTAAGCTTTTCTAAAATCAAATTTGTGTTTGCAGATAGACACTAAATTTTTAAAACCGATACCAGAGATAAAATGGAATCATAAAAAAAAAATCAATCCCAGGCACAATAAAAGGAAAAAAGAAAAAAGAACAGACAGAACAAATAGGAAATGATTAATAGATTTTAATTCAGATATAGCAATAGTTGTATTAAGTATAAATGGTCTCAACTCACAAATTAAAACATAAGGATTGTCTGATTTGATAAGAATTTAAACTCAGCTATACTCAGTCTATAAGAAACCCACACTAAATATAAGATATAGGTTAAAAGGTAAAAAATGGACTAACAGATTGCCCATGGGCTTGAGTTGGGTGGGGGGCAGTGGACTACAAAAGAGTATGGGAAAATTTTGTGGTGTGAGGAAAGTGTTCTGTTCTTGATTTTGATGGTGGTTACATACCTTTGTTTATCAAACTCATTGAACTTTACATTAAACAGGATAAATTTTAAGGTATGTAAATTATACCTTAATAAACCTGACTTAAAAAAAAAACAGTAAATTGAATAAAATTTTTATGAAAATAGTTGCAACTTGATTCACTCTCCTAAATTAAAACCAAAAGAAATAACCAGAGATAAAAGCTAAAATCTATCTCTCTTATCCTAGTTTGACATTCCAGTGGGAATCAGCAATTTTTGTTTTCAATTCTTCTGGTGGTTAGACTTTTACTTACTTAGCATAACTAACTCTTCACTATACAAGAGTATATAGTTGAGGTATTTTCACAACTTTACTATTTTTCTTCCTCAACTCCTTTTCATTAGTTACACTGTTTTACATTATCAAATAATCACAAGCAATTGTTGTTTTCAATTCTTCTGGTGGTTAGACTTTTGCTTAATATAACTAACTCTTCACTCTGCAAGAGGATATGGTTGACATATACAACTTCCCCATTTTTCTGTCCCAACTCATCTGTATTAGTTATATTGTTTTTACATTATCAAATGATATGTAGGATAAAGGAAACCTACACTCCTTTCTCAAAGGTGAAACAAATAAATAAATAGATAATGTTATGTGTAGTGATTAAATGAAGAAAAAAATAAAGTAGAGAAGATATATAACGCGCTCAGGGAAGTCCTCACTGAGAAGGTGATAATTAGGTAGAAATCTACAAGAAGTGATAAAGTCAGGCAGGACTCTGGAAAATGTATGATTCGGACAGAGGGCACAGCAAGCAAGCCCTGAACGAGTATAATATCAGCAGCTCACAAAAATATATTCAGTGCATACAGGAGAATGAGCAAAGAATAAAGTGACAGGAGATAAGCTCAGAGAGGTTGCTACAAGCCAGATGATGCAACGCCCTTTTGGCCACTGTAAGGCCTTTGGCTTTTACTCTGAGAAAGATGGGAAGTGACTGGCACACTGCCATATGATAATAATGATTAACAAATATTTACTGTAGAACTAAGCAGAGAAGGAAATACAAACCTAGGCCATTTAAACCCTCGCTCTCAAGAGAAAATGTCTTAGTCATCAAGATTTAATGGACACCATAATTTTATAACTCTACTTATGAAGATTATCATCAGCTACTATAATTTTTATATCTTATACTATTTTTATATTTTTGTTTAGCTATATCTTGAAAAATTGTTTCATACAGGGAGCACGAGTAGGACATTTTCATGCATGGCTCATCTGAAAATATCTTAATCCTGCCTTTAAACTTGGAAAGAATTACTCCACTGTTTTACAGCATTCTTTATTAATGGCAAGAAGGCTAGTATAAGTCTGATTCCAACTTTGTTGTAGACATCTGTTACTCCTTCCTGGGAAGTTTTGAGAATTATTTTTACTTTATTCCTACAGTTACAAACTTTCAGCCCAGTATGTATAGTATGAGCACATTTGTGCCAGTCAGCATTAAGCATGTCCTTTTAATCTGAAGACTCAAGTGTTCCATTAACATGGAAACATTAACAAGGAAAATTTGATTTGTTATGTCTTTCATTGTTTTCTCTCTTTCTTTCTCTAAGTTGGAACTCTTAGGTAGATGAGAACTGGAACTATTTTTTTTAATTTAATTTTTGTGAGTACATAGTAGATATATATATTTATGGGGTACATGAGTTTTGATATAGGCATGAAATGTGTAATAATCACTCCATGTAAAATGGGGTGTCCCTCAAGTATTTATCCTTTGTGTTATTAAAAATTCAATTCTACTTTCAGTCATTTTAAGATGTACAATTAAATTATTGACTATAATCATCCTGTTGTATTAACTTTTTGTTTTAAGAGAACAGTCTTTAGTCCTACCTATTATAACTTAATTCAAGGGGATAGAGATATTCAGAGAGAGAGAGAGAGAGAGAGAGAGAGAGAGAGAGAGAGAGAGAGAAATCCATTAATTTCTAGGATTTCTATTATGTCCTCTAGTTGTTCCTTGTCGATACTGTTCTTTGGTTATGGATACATCCCTCCTTTGAGTATCTCTGAGAATAGTCAGAACTCTTTTAATGCTGGAAAAACAGTGATATCTTCATTTACTCTGTGGTGAGTACTTCCTCTCCACCCCTTCTCCAGGCTCTGTTTTTCTCAAACTATCTTTTTGCCTCAAATATCTGGTAATCCAATCCCTGGCTGTCAGTCATATTTTGAAGTAAAGGAGTATGTTGATATTCCCCATGATGTGCGTAAAAAAGAAGCAATGAAAGATACTATTTATAAAGAATGCTATTTAAATTGACTGTAAATTATTCCTTTTTATCAAATAAATAATTTCTCCCATATTAAGCTGCCATATCACTGAGTCTTAAACAAATAGGGAATGTGAGAAACAAGCATAATTTGGGGTAAACAGAGTTTTCATAAACATCTTCAAAAAATAAACTGTACAAATGGCAATATCCCAAACTTAAGAAAAATTGTTTGTAACTTACCAATAGTTAAAGAGGTAAGGATTTTATGTAAAAGCACAATTACATTGATAAATATGTGCACATGAAATAAAACAAAGCGTTTCCCTTAAAAACAAAGGAAAATTTTCCGTGGCATTAATAAAATATAAACCTAGTTTTATGAACTCATTTGGCTCTACAAGTCAATTTTAGAGTAGCTTCTCTTGTGCTTGTCTCTCACACAATTTACAGAATCTTAAAAATTGATGCCATATTCTGCTGTGACACTAGAGGACCTCAGCTGCACACTACTTCAATATAGATGTCTTTCTCGTGAAATTAAAACCAAACCTTTAAAGTAATTTTCCCATTGGACAAGTTCTGAAACTACTGAACACAAAGACTACATTTTCTACTTTCTATACTGTGGTTTTGCGATATATTAGATATATTTGTGATATATTAGATATATTGTGATATATTGTGATTATATGTGATATCACATTATATCATATAATGTGATATATGATAGTAAAACTATCATATGTCTAGTAATAGTTAACATGTTATAGTTTAATTGAACATGGAAACTAAAAGAAGATTTAGGATTAAGAGACTGGGATTCACACGGTTAAAGAAAAAAGATACTGACAGGGGACAACAGGACTTTATCCTACACAATTCCCAGGTGAGAACTTGTTAAATAGACAAACCCATCAGTAACCTTGAAAATGTAAAATTATAATTCAAATAAAAAAATATTCTACTCCTTTTGACATTTTCAGTAACTATTGTTACTTCAGGGCCTGGGTGGCTAACATTTACTTTTTCATCATTTTCCCGAACAAATGAACATAAGAACCTTTAGTTACTATCATAAATATGTAAATAAGATGAAAAAGTAGTTTTAAAAATAATAATTGATAACTTCTAATAAAGCAAAATGACATTTGAAGACATTTTTATTTGTATTCAAACATATCAATTGAGTGGTTGTTACTGAATTTGTGGGCCCCATAGATACCAAGAAGAAGAACTGATCTGCACTATCAACAAGCCTACAGTATACTTAGAAAGTCAGATT